CGACCCTGGCGCGCGCGGCGGCGCAGCCGCCGGCGCCGTGCGCGTGCCCTGTGAGGCGGGCCCAGGCGACGGCGACGGCCCGACGGGCCAAGCCGCGGCTGGAGGCGCAGGCCACCAGGGGGTAGCGAGCCGCCGCGCGACAGGGAGGGTTCCCCGAGGACAAGCACGTGGCGGACAGCGAGGGCCTCTCGTTGACGGAGAGGGAGAACGCGGAGGACCTCTATCAGCGGGTCTACACCACCGCCCTCGCCGAGTTCAGGAGCTTCGCCGCGACCCTGGGCCTCCGCCTCGGGACCGCCGCGGACTACGACGGGGTGGCCCTGGAGCGGGCCCATCAGGCGCTCTTCGACAGCGGCGGCGTGCAGGAGGGGTCCTGCAGGCTGAAGGCGTTGCTGCACTATTACCACCCGCGGCTGCTGGTCGCCAAGGGGCTGCCCGGGTTCGCCCGAGCCCTGAGGGGGTGGAGGCGGCTCGTGCCGCCTCGAAGCCGACTCCCGCTCCTGTGGGAGGTCGCGCGCGCGGAGGCGAGCAGGCTGGCGGCCAACCAGCGCGCCGCGCGTCTCGTCGCCGTGACGTTCGTCTTCTGCCACCAGCTCGTGGAGCTGATGTCGCCAGCCGGGCGGCAGGTGGCGCCGCCGGGCCGGGCGGCCGGGCACGACGCGTGGCCGCTCGTGCTGTTCCCGATGGAGAAGGAAACGCCCAGCATAAGCGGCGCCTGCAACGCGAGCATCGTAGGCGACCTGCCGTTCTACCACTTCATCGGGAGCATGCTTGCTGAAGCTGCCCAAGACCAACGTCGGCGAGAGGGAGCTGGTGGCGCAGGTGCGGCACATGCCGCTGGTGCAGGCGTGCCAAGCGGCAGGCCAGCAGCTCAGGTTCGAGGGCCTGCCAGGCCTCTACCAGCTGCGAGACGGCGGGGCGTCCGCCGACCTCGCCCGCGGCCGCCGGAGCTTGGCAGAGGCGCCAGCTCGCGGGCGCTGGGCGACCGACAGCTCGGTGACAGAGTACGGCAGGGGGGGGCGCATCGCCGACCAGCTGGCCAAGCTGCCGATGCCCTCCTTCGAGCACGCCGTCGGCTGCGCCCAGAAGATTGGCGGCATCCTCTGCGGGCGCTGCCGGCCTTTGCCGCCCGTGCGGGCGGCGCCGTAGCGCTCGCAGTGTTCAGCGGCTCGGGCAACCTCAGTCGGGCCTGGCGGCGGCGGCAGCAAGCCCTAGGGTTTGCCGTCTTCGAGTGGGACCTCCGCTGGGGCGATGTGCATGGCCTGACCCGCCGTCGCGTGCAGCGCATTGTGCGAGGATGGGTCAACAACGGTCTAATCGCCGCCGTGTGGATGGGGACCCCGTGCCACAGCTGGAGCCGCGCACGGGACATCCGGCCTGGGCCCCCGCCGCTTCGAAGTGATGCACACGTAATGGGCCTGCCTGACCTGGCGCCTCGGGATGCCGAGAAGGTTAGGGTCGGCAATGCCCTCATGAAGTTTTCGGCCTCGCTATTCGCCCTGTGCCAGGCCGTGCGAGTGCCGGTCGCCATCGAGAATCTTCACTTGTCTAGAGTATGGCTGACGCCACAGTTCAAAGGTCTGCTGAGAAAATGCCGCACGGTCGTGTTAGACTTTTGCCAATTCGGCCAATCGTGTCGGAAACGCACCCGCATTGTGTGCGATCATGTTGATTTGCAGCCCCTCAGCCGTCTTTGCAACGGCCCCCGCGGGGTCTTGCTCTCGCACGGGTCGCCCGCGCGACCAGCTTCGTGGAATGAATTCGGACGGCATCTTTTTCACGCTTGTGGCTGAGGCTTACCCAGCCGACCTCTGTGCCAGCATCGTTCGCTGTTTCCAGTTCGCGCTTGCAGAAAAACAGAGTCAGAGAGCGCCGAAGTTGTGGTGCGGCTGATGCCAGGCGCGTTTTTGGAGTGAAGTTCCGTTCTGTGCAAAAAAGAGCTGGAGTTCGCTTCGCGTTTTGAGTTGGGTACTGTCCTGAGCTCGAGACCTTCTGATCTGTGATTGTAAAGTCGGGAGACTTGTCGACGCCAGAGATAGCATCGCTTCGCACGCCTGGCGGGAAAAAGGGCCTGGGCGTTACATTTGACAAAGCTGGCTGGTTTATGTTATGCAGAAGACCGTGACACGCCGTCTCCGTTCCATAGTTTTTTCCTGGCCAACCGTCGGCCCCACCGCCGCCCTCTCCTTTTTAATATTACAGGAACGAAATGGAGTTCGCTTCGCGTTTTGAGTTGGGTACTGTCCCGAGCTCGAGACCTTCTGATCTGTGATTGTAAAGTCGGGAGACTTGTCGACACCAGAGATAGCATCGCTTCGCACGCCTGGCGGGAAAAAGGGCCTGGGCGTTACATTGTAATACATCCTCCCTCCAAGCTCCTCTTCGCAGGCCCCTACAATGGTTCATGTTCAATTGAGGGAACTGCCTCGCTGGGAGACAATCGTTTGAAGACCCTGAAGCGTGACAATACACCATTCTCGGGACTCTAACGCCACGAATCAACCTTACTCTTGCGTAATTGCTATCATGAACCGTGCCAGAGCACCACTCCTGGGACTTCTGCACCGCGAATCAACGTAACATTTGCACCTTCACAGCCCTAAGTTCTTCCAAGACACCGTTTCTGGTACGCTGCCAATGGGAATCTCTGAAAGTCTTGCAAATATTTAAGACGTGTGTGCGCGGTGCTAAGACGAGGACCACACTTTGAAAAGGAACCGCCTTCAATCCGTGAAGCTGCTTCGATGTTTTAAGACGAGTGTGCGCGGCGCTAAGGCGATAGCCACAGTTTGAAGACGACGTCCTCAGTCCGTAAAGCCCTTGAATATTGTTAAAGCGAATGTGCGCGGCGCTACGGCGGGAGGGACATTTTGAAAACCATCTGCCTTCCATGTTGAAAAATGTTGCCAATTTCCAAACTGCAGGGTCATAGATGGTGGGGACGTCTAAGGCGAAACGCCCGGCCCTCCCTTTCGACCAGCTCCGGGGTGTGAAAGGGAGGAGTTATTTGTAAGACAAAGAATGGAAGAAGAGGAGGAGGAGGCGGAGGAAAAGGAAGAGGAGGAGGAATGGGAAGAGGAGGAGGAGGAGGAGGAGGAGGAGGAGGAGGAGGAGGAGGAGGAGGAGGAGGAGGAGGAGGAGGAGGAGGAGGAGGAGGAGGAGGAGGAGGAGGAGGAGGAGGAGGTGGAGCAGTAGAAGGAGGAGGTGGAGGAGGAGGATGAGGAGGAGGATGGAGGAGGAGGAGGAGAGGGAGGAGAAGGCCTCTTGGGTGCTCGTTTGGACTCTTGGGAGCCTCCTGGGAGCCTCCTGTGGGCCTCTTTGAAGCCTTTTGGGAGCCTCCTTTGGGCCTCTTGGGGGCCTTTGGGGGCTTTTCCGATGCTTCTTTCGCCGTCTTAGGGAGTGTCTGGCCCGTCTGACGCCGTCGGAAGCCGTCTTGGGAACCCCTATGGGCCGTCTTGGGGCCTGGGGCGCCTCCGGGCCGTCTGGGTAGCCATCTTGAGCGTCTTGGATGCCTCTGGGCCGTCTTGGGGCCCTCGCGTGACTGTCTTTGGGCTTCTTGGGTCGTCATGGGGCCATCCAGGAGGCCTTTGGGACGCTCTGGGGTTGATCTTGGGCGCCCCTTGGGCCGCCGTGGGCCGTCGGAAGGCTGAAAAGAGGGACGTGCCCAAATCCGTCAAAAACCAAAAGAACAGTCAATGATTTGTGCCTCTTCGGGCCTTCCCGGAGGACCTCTTGGAGGCCTCTTGGGCCGTCTTGCGGGCCGCTAAGCCGTCTTGGGCCTTCTTGAGGACATCTTGGGCCGTCTCGGGTGCATCGTGGGCCGTCCTGGATGCACCGTGGGACCCTCTTGGGCTCTCTCGGGGCCGTCTTGGGGCCGTCCTGGGGGCGTCTTGGGGCGGTCCTGGGGACCATCTTGGGGCCCTGCTGGCCGCCTTGGGGAGACTGTTTGGCGATATTCTGGTCCCTCCGGGCGGCCAGTGCGATCGGCCGAGACCTCACCGAGAACACGTAATTTTCAGTCGGGCCTGTCCCTCTACAGGAGGAATATTCAAAAGTAGAGAAATAGTGTTTTTGAGATTTGTTTTGCTATTTGGGGGTATTATTGGCGTATATTTTATTTGTCGTCCACAATCCCCCTGTAGGGGGACAGTCCCGACCTAACATTCGAAAGGACAAACAACTGCCCAACGTTCACCGCGCTGTGCACCCCCTGTGGCAAGCGCAGGGGGCGGCGGACACCTTGAGGCCCTCCTGGGGCCGCCTGTGGGCTTCCTGCCAGCTTATTTCGGGGCCAGACCGCTATCTCCCTCCGGCGGGCGCCTAGGGGGTGAGTGGCGGGGGTGGGGGAGCGGGAAGCCATCCCAGATTTTTGCGTTGTTGTGCTTTCTTTTTAAGAGGAAAGCGTTTGAGCTTGGCCCGCGAATGCAAGCATCTTGGGCTCGTCCTGTCGGAGGCCTGACTGCTGCTTCGCGAGGGGCGAATTTGACGAACGAAGCAAGGACCTGACCCAGACCAATCGCTGAATCGCGGTGATAAATCTTCAGAGGGAAATGATGGGGCGCCCGCGTCATGGCAAACTTGCATGTGTTATTATATCCTGGCTGTATTGGGCCCGTCCTCGGGCGCAGATGCTAACCTTCTGGTGTCGGCGCTTCTGCTATCCGTGGTGGAGAACCAGCCTCGTCCGGCACAATCCCGCTTAATCCCTACGACCTCCTGCTTTTGAGGGCTTAATCCCAGGCCACGTCCAGCCTGATCCAGCCCAATGGCCCGCCAATCGGGTTCAGTGGCCTTCAATCGTTTTGACGGAGACCTCCCAAGAGCTGCCTCCTGACATCGGCGACTCTCGCCGTCTCCTCCCCCTCACCTTCCTCATCCCCCCTCCCTCCTCCTAGGGGCCTCCTCCTAGGGGATGGGTGGGAGGGGTAGGACGACAGATATGACGTGAGGGAACATAGCTTGTCCTCCCTCTCCCCTCCTTTCTTCTTGGACATCCCCGCAGCCACTTTGGCTCGAGTCTCAGCCTGCCGCTCGGGAGCCACCCCCCCGCGACGGACAGGACAGCCACCTCCCTCCCGAGCGCCAATGCAGCCGATGCAGCTGCCCGCCAAGATGGAGACCGTGGTCAAGGGGAGGGGGGGCCTCGGAGGAGGGAGGAGGGAGGCGGGAGGGAGGGGAGGAGAGGGGGGGAGGAAGGGACGCGGGAGGAGGGGAAGGGAGGGCGCAGGGATGGATGGGAGGAGAGGAGAGGGATAGCGGAGAGGCCGAAGGGCAGCGGGCGAGGGAGGAGGAGGAGGAGGAGGAGGAAGAGGGGGAGGAGGAGGAGGAGGAGGAGGAGGAGGAGGAGGAGGAGGAGGAGGAGGACGAGGAGGAGAGAAAGGAGGAATGAGAACGGATGAAGTAGGAACAATAGGAGCAGGAGGAGGGAGGAGGGAGGAGGGATGAGAACTGCACGGAGGTAGTGAAGAACACCTTCCTGGAGATCTCGGACGGCAGCCCGCTCGCTTGGTCCCGCCAGATGTCCGAGCCGGTGAAGAAAGTGAGCTGCTGGAGCCGCCAGATCAGCGTCCAGTCGCAGGCCACCATATCCGATCCCAAATCTCTCGCGTCGTGAACGAAAGCACGACTGGTTGTGTCGTTGTTGCTACTCAAGAGGCTTAAGCAATTCCGCGGGCCCCGAGACGAAGTGAGTCCTTGTGGACATCTTGGTGGGCGTCTTGAGCGCTTCCTCAAGACGCTTGCTGGGCGGCGTTTGCTGGCTGTTTCTGGGGTGTCAGAGTTTCCTGGGCGCTTGCTGGCTGTTTCTTGGACGCCGTCGCACTCATGCAATGCCTTCTAGTCGCTATTTTGGGTTTCCAGTTGCCCTTAACGGGCCCCGGGACCGTCCACAAATCTTCAGGACGAAAAGCTGGTCCCCTGGAAGGGGTGCAGATCTCCAGGGGTGCACGACATGAAGCAATCATGACGTCGGGGGTCTTGGATTTTGAAGAGGACCGCGAAGGAAGAATACGGAGAGGAGAAAGAGGGGAGGGGGGCGGAGGACGAGGGGGGAGGTCGTGAAGACGGATGATGACGATGATTATGATGATGCTGATGATGATGACGATGATGATGATGATGATGATGATGTTGATGATATTGATGATGATGATGATGATGATGATGATGATGATGATGATGATGATGATGCTAACGATGATGGTGATGTTGGTGGTGGCGGTGGCGGTGGTGGTGATGATGATTATGATACTGATGCTGACGACGACGATGGTGCTGATGATCATAATTTGATGATGATGGTGCTGATGTTGATGCTGGTGGTGATTTTAGTGCTGGTGATGATGATCCTGATGATGATGAGGATGATGCGGATCATCACCATCATCATGCTCATAATCTGGATGATGATGATGATCAGGATCATGGTGATAATGATGATGGTGATGGTGATGCTGATGATGGCGGATCTGCTGCTGCTGATGACGCTGACGAGGATGATGATGTTGATGATGATGCGGATTACGATGATAACTGTGGTGGTGAGTTTGGTGGTGATTCTGAGGTGCTGGTGATGGTGATTGCGATTATGCTGATGTTGGTGGTACTGCTGATGCTGATGATGCTGATGATGATGACGATGCTGATGCTGGTGATGATGATGCTGCTGTTGATGATGGCGATGATGATGGTGCCGATTGTTATGATGCTGCTGATGTTGCTGTCGTCGTTGTTGTTGGTATTGCTGTTCTGTTTGATGATGGTGATGAGCAGAATGAGAAGGCTAGTGAGGCTAATGATGACGAGGGGCTCCGTGAACGAGGCACCAGGCCAACAAGAGACACTCATACCGCTAGTCCAGAGGAGTAGCTCTGCGAGTGGATGGAAGCGGGCTTACAAAACCCGCTACCTACCGTCTCGCCAGAAGGGGCACCCTTTCCCTGGAGCAGGTACTTTCTCTTAACGTGTCTTTGGAAAGCCCAGGCGGGGGTGGGGGGCTTCCGACACGTGGCCTTGCTACCACTGACGACCTGGCCAGGGAGGTGGTGGGAGATGTGCTCGGCTTGGACCTTTCTTGGGGGCCCTTCGCACACCAGCTTCAACAACTCGCACTGCCGAGATCCGCGATCTCCGCACTGCTCGCACATCCATCGGCACCGAAATCTTCGAATTGAACGGCCGGTGTCATCACTCAGAGTCAGGCCGGTAGGCCGATCAAGATATTCCGTTCTCTCAACGTCAGCCAGTGTCCTTCTCGAGCAACGCCGCAGTCTCCTTCACACTGTCTTGAGCGTCCAGGTGGCGGCGTGCTCACGCATCTGACAGATGCGCTCCTGGTGTGACATCCTGGCGTGCATGGCCGCACCACATTTGGTGACGAGGTCCACCTCCTTGTTGCTCTGCCAGCAGGCCATCGGGATGCTGTGCCGTCTCGTCTGTCCTGCGACAAGTGTGACGGAACCCGCTTGACCTGGACGTGGTTGCCGCCGGCATCATCCATCGCCTTCAGGACTTGACCCGGAGCTCGGCACAATGGTGTGGCGAGTCTGTGCCAAAGGGTCGACCAGCTCTCCAGCCCACCAGCATTTCCCTGCAGTTGTTGACTGAGGCCAGCTCTCCCTGAGAGACTTGTGCAGGGCGGTCTTGGTTGTCGCATGCATCTCGGCCGCGCTAGAGGTCTGCCAAGCGAACGGGACAGGCCCTGACGCAGCTGCAGTCAGATTTCCAACTCCTTCTGCCATGCAGAGGGCCCACCGCGCTGATGAGCCCACTGACCGTGCGACGATGCCAGTGAAGCACGTCATGAGCCTCTGGCGGTGGTAAATGTTGTCGCGGATCAGGGAAGAGGTCCTCGTGCAGCATCATCGTACACAGGTGTTCCTTTCCATACGTTGCCCTTCCCCCAAGCCAGCAGTTTCCTCTCATACCGATTCCAGCCATGCCTGTCGTTGATGTGCCAATCGCATCTGAAAGCCCGGCACAGGTCCATGCCCTTATGCACGCCGCATGTAGCACACAACACGGAGAAGCCGCAGCCCCGCCTGTGCGGAATCTCACCGGTTGAGGCTACCACCTGCGAGCCACGTACGAACTAGGCCAGCACCTTTTGTAGTCCCCAGCCTGTCTCAAGCTGACGATGGGCGCCTTGGCTGGTCCTAGGAGCGGTGGTCCAGCGAGCCCCCCCATGCACGGACTAGCGGGTACCGCCTCCATCAGCCCCCTGCTTGTGGAAAATATGTACCAGCTTCCTCAGCGTGCCATCTCCAATGTGATTGGAATGGATCTTCGAGCCTCTCTCGTTTCGCCACACGCTAATTTTCTGCGGCCCACCCCAGCCTACTCAAAGCCATGGAAACAGCCACGTGCATGTCCTTGCACTGCCTTCTGCGTCTCTGTAAGGTTCTGAGCATGCATAAACGCCAAAGCCATCGCACGCTGTCAAACCCGCTTCTCCCACTTATCTTTCGACCAGTGCGCTAGGGGAGACTCGTCAGCTATGTAGGTGCAGTCGTAGCGTGGACAATGGGACAAGAGAAACTTCATAATTCTACACCTGCCACGTGCCGTACCAAACTGAGCATGTCCAGATACAGCCTTGACGTTCTGCAGCTGCTGGTCGTTCATGTCCTGCACCTGGACCGTGTAGGCGACAGAGGCCAGCCCACCACTCCTGAACACCTTGCCCATTCTTCGACCACATTGCGCAATTCTCCTAAACCTGCACGCCCGTTGTCCGACATTCGATACCTTGTCTTTTTGTTTTGGCGCCTGTGCCTCCCAGCAGTCGATCGTGTCCAAACTGTCTGACCACACTTCAGTTCTTGACTTCGAAGCTTCGCAAGTTTGCGTCCACCTGCTTCGCCATCTTCGGTGTCGTGGCAATCAAGTGCCCGTTGTTCGGGCTCAGCTCTAGTCCCAGCTGTGTCAGCAGCTTGCATAGATACGTGACCGCCGCCGTGATGATCTGAATGGCCCTCGGCTCTGCGTCCGTGACCTGCAAGTTGCCATCATCAACCACAACAGCAATGGTGAGCCACCGAGCGAAGCCTTGATTCAAGGCACCCCACGTGAACAGTATCATCACCGTAGTCGCGTCCGAACGCCCTGCTATTACCCCTTTGCTCGTGCGCACAAGCCTGGAGGCACTCGTTCCGAACGTGAGGCCCCTCTTGCCGACAGACGTCTTGATGAGCATAGCCAGCCATCCCTTGGGACAGCGATGCCTGCAGCCTGTCCCCCACAACGTAGCGTGCGCTATCTTTTCGAAAGCACTTTAGAGCCCCAGCAGCACCGCCACATATTGCCTCGTCATGGCACGACTTGCTTCTGCAAACAGAGATTGTGTCCACGCAGCTCGCTCTTAGCTGCGCCCTGCCATAGCGTAGTGGTAGTGTCGAACATGTTCTTAAAGCCATTGCCTTTGAACTCCTCGCCTGCATCTGTTGTGGACCTCGAGAGTGTTCGGCATGAGGCCGAAGAGTCGATGACCTCATGGCTTTGGAAGCCGTGGGAGGATGGTGGTAGTCATCTGAACTGGCACCTCCACGAGCTGCTCTGCCATCGCCATCACCTGCCCGAGCGCATCAGACACTCACAGGACAGACTCTCAGGATATGCCTGAAGCTGTCTCATCTCTGAATGTGCCCGCTGCTTTCCAGATCGCTTCATGCCCCGTGTGCTCCAAGGTACAGTCATCAACATCAACACCTTGTAGCGTGAGCCTTTCTCCAAACGATTTGTCTCCAGGATCATGCGTCCATATATCCTGTCACTGCTGCACTTTCTCTCCAGTGTGGTCGCGTGAGACTTTATTTCTGCATCTGGGTGTACTTCTGCTTGCGTCCACCGCATCGGTAACGAGCTCCATCGATGTGTCCTGGAATCCTCCGTCTCGATGGCCTTCGCCAGCTGGTTTCTCCACTCGGCGACCCTAGCTTTCCAAGCCTGCCGCTCAAACTTGTCAGCTTCACTCGCCGCCATCTAACTGCAGTCTCTGAGCCAATCCTCCTCCCAGCACCACTCGTATTGCAATCTGTAAGATGAGACGTGCCAGGCGTCACCCATGTGCAGGCTCTTGCCCCTCAGAATGTCGAGCATGCGCATCCTTTGCTGAACGAGCTGCGTGTCCAACTCCCTGTTCCTCCTCATGGCGTGCACTAGGTCCATAGGGCCATCGATGCTCTTCTCCAGCACTTCGACCAAAGAACTCCTTCTGATCCTCTGCCTGGGGCCTTCCCAACAAGTTTGATTTGCGGATCTGTGAGCTTGCCACGCCCACAGGATGCCGATTCCTTTGCGTCAGGTACCTGGAATCGATATCCCAGCTCCTGCTCAGCCAGCTCCATCCACCTCTCATGTAGCACACATTCAAATCACCTGCGTCCTCCGCGTGCTCGCACTCCCCCACCAGCTGATCGTAGTCGGTAGGCTGCCTCGGCGCACTCGTTGGACATTCATTGGAGTACGTCTTTGGGCGATTGATCTGTTGCTCCATCGCTGCTCCTAGCCCCACTCCCAACTCCAGAAGAACTGCCCGATACGTCGCCAGGCTGGCACCCTCGAGACGCCTTATTCTCGTGACCAAGCTCTTGACATGCTTTGAGATCGCGAAGTAGTCGAGCGCGTTTTTTTCCCAGCCGGACGCATCCACTCAAAGGGCGTTGCGCTAGTGGCTGGTTCATCGCGTGTCGCGTTGAGCTCCTAGCGATCGAGCGGGCTCATGTTCCAGCCACCGCCGAGTATGAATGACCGCCCCACCCCCTTGAATTGCTCAACACACTGCAGAACGAATTGTCTGTTCGCCTCCTAAACCTCCTTGCTATGATTGCATGGGGTAGGGTATACCGATCCCAGCAGGAAGCCTCCAGGGAGCACGCCGTCCACCCAGTGAAGTGCCCATCTCGAGCTCGGTGGGTGCACTCCTCCCATGTCTTGTGGATCCGCTGAACTTGTGTGATTCCGCACTCATGCCCCAACACCTGCCGAGGCCACATGCTGCTCTCGCTCTTGTCGTACTGGTGGAAGCCGAACATGCCAGCCTTGATGTCTTAGTCGAGCCTCCGCATCGCTTATGGCTGGCTTCTGTATCTTGTGCCCCTGGACTGCGATCACATCAACTTCATCCCGAGTTCGCTCACCTCCGAGGCAATCAGCGAGAGCTTGGCTGCATCTGGTTGTGCTAATGTGATGTTGGCTGTAAGTAGGTTCCACTCCCTGACTTCGGTGGTGATCACCTGCTCGGGTTTGACAGTTGGCCTCATCCCTGTCCCACGTCGCACCTGCTCTTACTTCGGAGGCGTCCTGGCAAACCATGCGACGCTGAGCCCCCTTTGGGGGGCGATCCTGACCATTTTTCTAGCTCGTCGGGCGAACGCCTGGCAGACGTCAAGCCCCCCCCCCCGAAGGGGCCGATCTTGACCACTCAAGTCTGCCCGCTGGGCTTTAGGAGCACCCAGCTGGCTGCAATGCCGTAGGTGACGCTGCCATAGATCGACCCAAAGACATTAGCTGGGACGCCGTCTGAGTTGCCGACGCCGTACCACCTCCCAGAGACGTCAGGGATCGCCCTCTGCGCAGACGACGCCAGACCGTTTCCAAGAGACATCACCAGGGATGCCGAAGTCGCTGTAGACGCGATTCCCCCATGAGACGTCATCACATCTGGTATCTCGTTAACGCCACGTCGCCAACTTTGTCAACACCTTGCCCCTAGCTCCAGCATTGCAGCTCAGCATCACGCCTTTGCCACAGCTGGGGGCTCCACCTGTCTCTTCGTGGGCCGCTCTGCCGCTGCTGCAAGCGCATCCCGCAGCCGCGTATTGGCTTCCCGAATGCGCTTGACGTCTTCTTGATCCGTGACCCCGTCCAGCTTGAGGCCTTGGTTGTTATGGGCCTCAGCGAGATCGTCATCATCTGGGACAGGGACACGTACGGCTGCTGCAGCTGTTGCAGATGGCTCCGTCGGCACATTGACATCATGTGCTTGCACACATTGGGCAGCAACTGCACCACCAAGAGTACCCTTCTTCGCGTCGGTCTCCTTCTGTATCTGTAGCTTGAGCGCTACGAGGGCCGTCTCGAGTGCCAGCATGGGTCCTTTGAGTGACTCGGGCACCTCACTCCCTCCAGTTCTGTGCTGGATGCTTGAAACTCCCCCACAACGTGCAATTGCAGGGTTGCCTTCTGCCCAGCTGACTCACGTAAGAAACCTCTGTCTTCACGTGCTCCAGCTTCTGCTGCCTCTCCACGTGCGAGTGAAGGAACTGCTTCTCTGCCTCACGCCGTGCTTCAGCTTGCTGGAGTTCGTCCTCTCGTTCTTCGAGTCGTTGCTCCGCCTTCTCGATTTTCTTCTGGGTATCGGCCAGACGCTGGCCAAGCTGGAAGGAGGTGAGCTTCGCGAGGTCCGCGGGCTATGAGCAGGAGGAGGACGAGCAGGAGGAGAAGGAGGAGGAGACAGAGGAGGATGTGGATGCGGAGGCGGCGGCGCAGGATGAGGAGAAGGAGGAGGAGGTTGTGGAGGAGGAGGAGGACGAGGAGAAGGGGGATGATGAGCGGAAGAATGTGCCGACACTGCTGGCACAAGCTTTCTGCACATGCGCTAGGCGGGGGAGCAGGAGGCAGAAGGAAGGGGAGGTATACGGAGAAGGCAGGATGAGGCCACAGGAGGATGAGGATGATGATGATGCTGATGATGATGATGATGATGATGATGATGGAGATGATGATGATGATGATGATGATGATGATGATGATGATGATGATGATGATGATGATGATGATGATGATGATGATGATGATGATGCTGATGCTGATGCTGATGCTGATGATGATGATGATGATGATGATGATGATGATGATGATGATGAGGAGGAGGAGGAGGAGGAGGAGGAGGAGGAGGAGGAGGAGGAGGACCAGATAGGGAGGCGTTTTTGTGTGTTCTCCACCTCCGCTGGTTCCTGGCTGGTGCGCCAGAGATGTATCTCCTGGGATCTGCGAGCCTGGAGTGGAGGAGGGCGGAGGAGCGAGGGGGCAGGAGGAGGAGTGGGGAGGAGGTGGAGGAGGGAGGAGGAGCAGCAGCAGCATGAGCAGGAGCAGCGAGGCCTCCTCCTCCTCCTCTCCTCCTCCTCCTCTCCTCCTCCTCCTCCTCCCCCTCCCTCCCTCCCTCCCTCCCTCCCTGTGGATGATTGGAGCGTTGGAGGAGGCTCGGTCGGTCGGATCTTCGCGGAAGCGCCCGACGTGCGAGCTGCTGCCGGGGAATGTAGCATTGAACGCAATGCCACGGCCCAAAGCGCCCTCACAGCGGGCTTAGCCTCACCTCGGGCATACGAAGCCGAGACGAATGACAGAGCAAACAACCAGGCTCCAGAGGCCACCAACAGAGACGACGTACGCTCGCAAGACACACTTGAGGCTCCAGAGGCCACCCGAAAAACAAGCCTCTCGCCCTCGGTGCACACGCGACGCCTGAAAAGCACACCAGCCTGCGATTGGGGAGGCGCACCCCAAGGCCTGAAAAGGGGCCCCCACTACCGCCAGCCCCGGGAATGGCCGCCCGTGTATGTTTTTACGCCCCCCCATCGCCATCGATGGCGGCACCGACCTCCCCGTGGGCCTCCAACCGACGGGGGTTGCCCTGGCCATCCCCGCGTCCTTGACAGGGCTATCCAAGCGGGAGGGGGCAGGGAGATGATGGCAGGAAGGACATGGAGGAGAAGGAGGAGGAGGAGGAGCAGCAGCAGCAGCAGCAGCAGCAGCAGGAGCAGAGAGGGGCGGAGGGCTGCATTTACGGATGGGGCAGGAGGGAGGGAGAACATGGCAGGCTGCGCCCAGTCCCCAGACATCGCCCGATATGTTTTTCAATCCGCTCCTAATTCCTGCCTTCTTTCTTCGTTCCTACTTTCTCCTTCCTCTCCTCCTCCTTCCTCCTTCCTCCATGCCCCCAGACATCCGACGATGTGTTTTTGTTGAATCCGTTGCCCCAGAGGTCCCGACCCCTTCCCTTGAGTCAGTTGTTTGTCTTCTGGTGAACCCGGGGTCCGATTCTGAGATCCTAGCTGGCGTTTCAATTGTTTGGAGCTGTGCGTTTACACCCTTCTCCGGGCCCCAGGGCCCCTCAAAGATCGATCCGACTCGATAGATGGCGCAGAACGATGGTGTCTGGGACTCTGGTCGCGATTTTTCGGGATGTTGGGATTTGTCTGCGTCGTCGGTTCTCCGGGCCCAGCACGGGCCCCAGATGCCGAAATATCGAGGACGAGCGCCTGGATCTGACAAGAGCTCTAGCGTCGGAGATCTGGGCAGCTGCAGGCCACCGCCTCCGACTGGGACGAGTGGGACGAGGAGCGCACCACAGCTGGCGGCAGGTTTCGATTACAGAACAGGGATGCGCATGCGCAAAACATTGCATCAAGGGCAGACAAAAGCGCCCCTACCCTGGTTTACGAGGCGCTGTGCGCTGAAACTCCTGTGGGCTGACAGGGCAAACCCTGCGTGATGTGTTGCGTCCTGGCGGCTCTAGGCTTTGGGGGTTCCCAGGAGGTTTACAGACCACGCACTTGTAACCCAGGGTAGGGCCGTTTTTTCATCCCTCAATTGCATGAGTGCCGCAAGCACTTCTTGGATCGGCGCTGGCCTCCCCGGCGGCGCCACGGCACCGCCTTGTGGCGCGCTCCGCCCGCCAGGGAGGGGGGCCCAGCGCCGATCCAATCCAAGAAAGCTGCGCGGGCCTCCAAGAGGTGGCATTTCCTTCAGATCCGACGTAGCGAACAAAGTCAGCGTCGTGAAAACCACGACCAGAGAGCCCCGGGCCCCATCCTTCTGCGCAATGCTTCGAGCCCGATCGATTTGTGAGGGCCCTGGGGCCTGAAACCGGGCGTACCAGGCGGGGGCCGGGGAGGCAGGGGAGGCGCGGAGGGAGGCAGGCGGGAGCAGGGCTGAACCCAGAGGAGGAGGTGGAGGAGGAGGAGGAGGAGGAGGAGCAGGGAGGAGGAGGAGCAGGGAGGAGCAGGAAGTCCAGCTCGACACAATGGAGGCGCCAGCTTCCTCCAGGGTTCTCGGGCCACACCGCGGGCCTCCGGCGGGCCTTCGCGACGATTTCCGGGCCCCACCCAAAAACGCACCCAGCGAGGCGCAGTTGCTGGAAGGCACCCCGCGAGGCTGGAGAACACCGCCGAGGCCCGACGAGCACGCCCGGAAACCTCGGATCTCGAACGCCAGTTTTTTCGTGCCCATTCTTTAGGGGGACAGAAAGTGGCATAGACATAAAAACTCGGAGGCCCGCGCGGATGTCTCGGATCCGCGCTGGACCCCCCTGGCCCCTGGCGGCGCCTCCGGCGCCGCCCCTGGCGCGCTCCGCGCGCCAGGGAGGGGAGTCCAGCGCCGATCCGAGAAATCCGCGCGGACCTCCGAGTTTTTATGTTTATGCCACTTTCTGTTCCCCTATTCTTGCGCAAGGTCCACCCCGAAGTCCGGCTGCGCCTCGGCGTCGTCGTCGAGCCACCGCGCCTCCGACCTCGCCCCGGAGCGGCCGCCGCTCGCGCCGCCGGAGCAGCAGCCGCCGCTGCGCCACGAGGGGCCCCCGGCTGGCCTCTCGGCGAACACGGTGACTCGCCACGACGTCTCCTGGGATCGGCGGGGGGGGTGCTGAGAGGAAAGAGGGATTGTCGTGGGTTTGTTTTCGTAGGTTTCCGGGCGTTTTCGTAGGTTTTGGGGGGTTTGCTCGCCTCGGGATGCTTTCCAGCAGCTGCGCCTCGTCGAGGGCGTCCCAGGGGTGCCTGGATCGTCCCGAACGGCCGCCGCGGAGACCCGAGTTATGGCCCGGAAGCCAGACAATTGGAGGAGGGCCTGTGTGGTGTTGGGATTGGCGTTGGGATTGCAAGGGGATCAGGGGGGTTATCAGACGATGCCAAGGTTTGTGATCCATGGCAAACCCAAGCTTACAAGTGGGTGATACATGCCCCAAGTGGCATAGGGGGTCAACTATCTGGACTCAGTGGGCTCGGCCTATGTGTGTAGTCATCGAACCCCATTTGGGGCATTTGTAGTCGACGTATATCCTAGAGTAGGCCACATACAACCGATGTAGCAGCCCGCAGGTGCGGATAAGAGTGAGGCGGCGGGCGTGGGGTGGGTCGCGGGCGAGTCGCGTGTGGGTCGCGGGGTGGGTCACAGGTTGGTCGCAGGGTGGATCGCGGGGGTATCGCGGGTGAGTCGTTGGTGGGTCGCGAGTGGGTCGCGTGTGGATTGCAGGTGGGTCGCGGGGGGGTCGCGAGTGGGTCGCGCGGGGTTCGCGGGAGGATCGCGGGTGGGTCGCGGGCGGGTCGCGGGTGGGTCGCGGGTAGGTCACGGGTGGGTCGCGGGCGGGTCGCGCGGTGAGTCGCGGGTGGGTCGCGGGTGGGTCGCGGGCGGGTCGCGGGGTGGGTCGCGGGTGGGTCGCAGGTGGGTCGCGGTTGGGTCGGCGGGTCGCGGGCTGGATCAGTGGTGCGTCGCGGGTGGATCGAGTGTGGGTCGCGGGTGGATCGCAGGTCGGGTCGCGGGCGGGACGACGACGACGACGAACAGCAACAGCAACAATCACAACGATAACAACAACAAGACCAACAACAACCAACAATAACAATATCAAGCACAACAATAATTTCCAACAGCAGTCAACAACGCTCGTTTTAAGACTGCTCGCTCTTGTCTGCTCGCGCGCCATTCAACACGTATATCCCGAACCCTCGATACCCGCCCTCTTCGTGTTCGATCGTGACCCCATCAGGAGTAGTTTCCTTACCTGCAACGCGTATTCCGTGCAGCCCCTAAGGCAGGGGAAGCGAGGACGGACGGAAGTAAGTGACATGGAGGAGGATGGAGCACAAGAGAGAAATTAGCAGGAGGGGGGCAAGGACCAGAAAACAATTGGTAGATCCAGACGGGCAGATCGGGTGGGCAGACCCATAGCGGGCAGGTCGGGAAGGCAGGCCCAGGCGACGAGGAGGTCGAGCAGGCGGGTTGCTGAAGCGTGGGTCCTGCATGAATCGCAAGGAAGCTTTGAGCGATAGTGCGATTCCCAAGTACATCGTAAGAGAAGCCAAAGCGAGAGCGTGATTGCTGAGCGCCGAGGGCGCATCGTTTGAATAAACTGCGAGGAAGTCCCACGCGAGAGCGCGATGCGTACATGAATTGTGAGGAAGTCCCGCGCGAGAGCGCGATTTGGGAATGAGGAAGTATCAGGCGGGAGCCCTCGTTGTTGTAAACGGGGGGCCAGGGGCCCAGTTTGAGCCCCGTGATTTTATATATATATTATATATATATGTATAAAAAAAAACAACGATAGTCACTTGAGGGGGGGATCAAGAATAGTTATTCTTCAGTAGTGAGAGTTCAACACCAACAACACTCTGCACCGCGGAAGCCCACTTTAGCCACGCACCCAGGGACAGTGAATGACCGCTCGGCCTCCTCACTCTGACCTATGTTTGTATCCACTGATAACGCCTCTATCCCCATAGCAACCCTGGCGCCGATCCCAGGATGCATGACTGATTCTTTCAGTCCGGGCGCTGCTCCTTGATTTCAGCGCTTGGGGCCTGGAGTCGGGCGAAAAACGTCAAAGGTGACTCGCCACGACGTTTCGAGCTCTCCGGCGATTTGCGTCTTTCAGTCCGAGCGCTGTTCCTCGAGCTCGGCGTCCGGGGCCGGTTGTCGGGCCCCGGGCCAGCAAACAGGGACCCCGCAGGGGTGCGAAGGATAATCGCGCTGCGCATGTCGTGGTCCGCGCCAGACGGGCTGCCCTTTTCCGAAGGGCCCGCGGGAGGGCGCGAGACGCGAAGGACATCGCGCGGCGCGCATCGCGGGGCGCAGCGCGCGAAGTCGGGCAACCTTCAAGTCGGGCCTGTCCCTCTACAGGAGGAATGTTCAAAAATAGTCAAAAAAAATAGTCAGGGGACGAGTTTTGAGTATTTTTGCGAATTAGTGAGCAAGTCTGTGGTATTTTGCATTTTTCGTCGAAAAGTCCCCCTGCAGGGGGACACGCCCGACTTAACGCAACGCGCGGAATCAGGCAACCTGGGAAACTGGCCCCAGGGAGGTGATCGGGACCTGTGGGGCCGCGAATGAAGAAACATAGTGCCAGAGTTGGGTATAGCCAGGACCCCGGGTAAGGGGACCCGGTTAGTGGTAGGGCCCCGGAGCCTTCGAATTGGCCAGAATCACTAAACCAGGTTTGCTGTAACTGGTGTTTTTCGGGTGACGGCAGTTCCGGTTAGTGGAAATGGGACGGGGGGGCGCCCCCGGTACAGATCACGAAACCAGGTTACACTAAACCCAGTTCTGCCAACGCCCGACAGAGGGTGTCAGGTGTCATGGTCGGGGGCGCCCAAGATCGAGGGGGTTCGAGGCGGCGCCAGCTCCATCTCCGTCTCCAGCCCCGCCTCGATCCGATCGGTCCGATGTCGGTGCATCGATTTGGCTCGAGGTCTCGGGCGTCTTCGTAGTTCCGATATCGGAGTTTCGATTTGGTTTGAGGTTTGGGGCATTTTTGAATGTTGGTGAGGGCCTTCCTGCCTCGGAATGCTTCCCAGCAGCTGCGCCTCGACGAGAGCTTTCCGAGTGCGCGCCTATTGTCCCAAACAGTCTCCGGGGGCCGAGAGATGGCCCGAGAACCTCAACCAGGCAAGAGGGTGCGTGTGAGTGTGGTGATGTGTGTTTGCGTGACTTGTATGTATGTATATATGTGCAGATGCATATGTATGTATGTGTGCATGCATGTATGTATGTACGTATGTATGCATGCATGTATGTATGCATGTATGTATGTATGTATGTACGTATGTATGTATATATGTATGTATGTATGCATGTATGCATGTATGCATGTGTGCATGTGTGTATGTATGTATGCATGTATGTATGTATGTATGTATGTATGGTTGTATGTATGTATGTATGTATGTATGTATGTATGTAGGTAGGTAGGTAGGTAGGTAGGTAGGTAGGTAGGTAGGTAGGTATGTATGTATGTATATATGTATGCATGCACGCATGCATGCATGCATGTATGTATGTATATATATATATATATAGATGTACATGTAAGTATGATCAGCCAAGCGTGAATGCCCTCCAGTCAGTACGCCGCTGTCGTTATTCCGTAGCCTTCGGCTTAGGTTTTTCTTGGGTGTATGCTCAACCTAGACCTCCAGGCACTGTATACCGCCGCGATTGCAGGGCTGCCTGGCTGGGCCGCCCTCATCTGGCAGGCCGCGCGAGGGCCTGGACAGTCCGCCGCCCCTGAGGGCGGAGGAGGCCACCCAGGGCACGAGGAGGAGTGCCCCGAGGTGATCTGTGAGTGCCCGGAGGTGGTCTGCCCGAGGCAAGAGTGCCAAGAGACAGATTGCCCAATCGTCGAGTGCCCGTCGGTGCCCGACCCCAGGGAGCTGTACCCCTTGCTGGAGGAGGGCCTCTTCGCCTTCCTCTTCGTGCCGCTGTTGATCGCGACAGCTGCAGGAGTGCTACTCGGCCGCTGGTGCGCCAGGAGGACGCTGAGTCAGAAGGAGGCGGGCGGTCAGCAGGTCATCCCGCCCGTGACGGACGAGAAGCGGCGGCAGCTCGCCGCGGAGCAGGTGGCAGCCGTTCGGGCCCGTCGACAGGCGGTGCGCCACACACAGCAGTGAGAATGGCAGCCAGGGGAGACTACATCCTCATCAAGTACAACGGGGTAGTGGAGGACTTCTACCAAGAGACATTGATCACGGGGGTCAGTGCTGAGGATCCCACCGAGGTGACGCTGTACACCGCCGATCGGGACCACTACCAGTTCAATATTGCGCCTGGAGATGATGTTGAGGCGGTGCATTGGATCGGGCTGCGAGGAGGTCGTCCAGCGCATGTGCCAGATAATGAGATCTATCGGTTCCGCCACAACGTGCCGCCCAATGAGCGCCATAGGCTCTTCGCGGAGGCGCAGGGCATGCTAGGTGCTGCGCCGGCGCCGCCACCAGCCCCCTTGGCGGCCCCGATGCGGAACGTGCAGAGGCAAGGTCTGGGCCGCCCCGCGGGGGCGGCCGCCAGACGCGCCGAGCCCGGCCGCGTGTGGGTCTTTGCCGAGGACCACGGCTGCCACCAGAAGGGCGACAGTGTGGAGGAGCTTCCTGCTGGGGCGGTGGTGCTGGGAGAGAGGGCGGTCGTCCCCACGGCGGACGGCAGCACGGCCTTCTTGCAGATGATCCCCCAGGACAGCATTGATGAGTTCAAGATGAACGATCTCACGGTGATGCCAGTGACCAGTGAAGTTCGATGGCATGGGCCGACGCAGGAGGCTCTTCCAGGATGGCGTGGCCAGCTTCGTGCCCGACGAGCCCGAGGGGGGCTTGGGGTTGGAAGGCCCAGGCACCGTATCCTGGAGGTGCCAGACCTATGTCGAGAGGTCCCAGACGCCAGTGTCTCAGCACGCGTCGTGGAGAGCGACGTCGGGCGTCTCGAGCGGGACCGCAGTGTCTTCGAGCATGAGGTGCTCTCCGAGGTGCTCGAGAGCATGGTGTGCACGGACCAGCTGCACGCCCCTGCACTTCGCAGTGCCGAGCTGGTCTGCAGGAGGCTCCAGCTGATCGAGAGCGCCCACTCCCTGAACCCCTCGGCCCCCGACTACTCGGCCGCCGACCAGCACATGGGGTGGGGCCGCCGCCGTCAAGGCATGATGGTGGCCCCGCTGCTCCAGCAGCACGTGGCGACGGCCCTCCGCGACGAGCACCAGGTGGCCAAGGAGCAGAGGAAGGCCCGGGAGGAGCGTCGTCTGGGTCGCCAGAACAACAAGAACCACAAGGACAAGGCCCCAGAGGGCCAGGGGTGATGCGGCCCCCTCCGAGGGGCGACGGACCTAGCCTCTCGGCAGTGACACACCCAGGAGGTCCACAATTTTTTGATAGAGCTCGACCACGGAATCTATTTCCACTCCCTCATGTTGTTGAGCAATCGGCTACTGAGGGGCATCCCTCACGCTCGGTGCGAAGACGCCTGGCGAGGAGGAGGTTTTTGGACAGAGCCACCAACTCTGTCATCAGTACCTTGAATGAGATGCAGGGCTGCGCCGGGGTGCACGAGGGAACCCCCGCGATGGGCCAGATGCTGTCTCAGGATGCGATACGCTGTGACGTCGCGCCCACTCCGCCATCCCAGACCTTGTGCACCAGACACGGGGCCGTTCGCGAGCTCTTGTCAGGCATCGTTGACTATGCAGGCAGCGATTGCAGCGCCACGGTTCGTCCCTATCGGCGGGATCAGGTTTCTCTTCCAGATCCCGGGAGGCCCTCGGCGGATTTGCTGTGTACCCTCCCGGAGCCTGACCAGGATTTGCTGAAGTCATGGGATACTCATATGCTTGCTGACCCTGCCGATGTGGGGTTCTATCGAGAGTCGGGACATCAGTTTAGGTTGTATTTCGACGAGATTTTCAAGGCGCAGAGTGATGTCTTCGTTGAGTTTTTGCAAGACCTTAGCGACGCCAAGATGATCGGTTGGGCTGAGAAGCCTCTGAGCTTGGTGACCCCTTTTTTTGTGGTAAAGAAGCACGACAGGTTACGACTCATCATGGATTGCAGGGACACGAACCTCCTCTTTCGAGCACCCCCTGCCCCTGAGATGGGCACGGCTGCAGCGTGGGGCAACTTGGAGCGTCCTGAGGCTTGTCCTGATCCCGAGGCCGGCGGAACTGACGCATGCGGAGGTGGCGGAAGCAAACTCTGGGTAGCTCAGGCGGACGTGAAGGACTGTTTCCACTGTGTTCGCAACCTTCCAGAGCTGTGCCCGTATTTCTGCATGCCGCCGACCACGGAGGGTGAGCGAGCGAGCCGACGCTGGTATTAGGGGCCCTAGTGGCCTTGGGGGCTTAGCTCGTGAGGTTTCGGTTTACCCAATGCTGTTGACTCTTCCGATGGGCTTCTCCTGGGCCTTTTACTTCGTCCAGCGCCTCGTGGAACACCAGTGCAGAGTTTCCCTGGCTGGGGCTGGCTTGGCTTTCAAGTTCCTGAGGGACCAGTCCCCTGCTCCAGACCTTGGGACCCAGTTGGCTGTTCTACCTTACTGCGACAACATCAATGTAGCGGGCATCAGGAGAGAGGAGGTGAAGGAGGCAAAGGATATGATCGTTCGGAGGCTTCGTTTCGTGCAGTTCACTGTCCATGAGGAGACCGAGCCCGAGACCCTGTCGTACTCGCTGGGTCGCGTCATCGATGGGGAGTCCTGGGTAGTTCGTAATCGATATGAACGAGGGGAGCGTCTTCGCAAGGTCTGCGAGGCTCTTGAGGGGGGTCAACCAGTGACGGGTAGGCAGATGAAGCAGTACCTTGGCCACGTGGTCGATTTCTTTCTGATTAGACGGGAGGTCCTCTCGGTGCTCAGATCTAGCTACGATTTTGCGCAGGCGGCAGATCAGAAGCCCCAGAGTTTGTGGCCCTCTGCTCGGCGCGAGGTTCGCTGGATACGCTCTCTCACTTTCATTGGCCTCGCTCGGCTGGACAGGCCTTGGCACGACGCAGTCGTGTCGACTGATGCGTGCGAGTCTGGTGCAGGGATCGCTGCACGTCGCGCGGATCCCGCAGAGGTGGCGACCATTGGCCGAGTCCGAGAGCGGTGGAGCTATCGCTCTCGTCATCCCCTTCACTGTCGTCCTCGTCTGCATGCCCTGGGAGGGGGCCCTCTACACGACGTGGGCACGGTCTTGCCAGTAACCCGACAGGCCCTTGGGGAGGCACCTGAGGACCTGGAGGTTAACCCGGGGTTCGACGAGATCCCAGAGGCCTTCGTGGACCCCAGCAAGTGGCACGAGGTGTTTGCCATGCGTTTCAGGAGGGAGGAGGCTATACCTATTCTGGAAGGTCGGGCGTCTTTGTTGGGGGTACAGCACTACATGAGGTCGTCTCGGTCTTTTGGAAAGCGTCTTCTACTTGTGGGGGACCAGCTGGGGAACACGTTGGCTATTGGGCGTTCTCGGGCCTCCTCGTGCGACCTGCTCATAATCATCAGGCGTATCGCTACCTATATGTTGGCTACTGGCTCGAGTCTCTCTGCGCGGTGGACCCCGTCTGAACTCAATGAGCTTGCCGACCGATCCTCTAGACGATGGGAGAGTGACGTCAGGGCTCCGAAGGGCCGCAGCGGCTCGGGCGCCCACCCGCCGCGCCAGGTTCCAGAAGACGGCTCTGGCGCGTCACGGGGAGGGCGTGACATCACGGCTCCAGCGGCGCCACTGGGGATCCACCTCGGCGAGGCCTGTGAGCTCGGCGCCGCTGCGCCTCCAGCGCCAAGGGGCTGTGGAGCGCATCTCGGGGCCTTCGAGGGAGAGCCGCCGGGGGAAGCGCCAGAACATCTTCGGGGCTTTCGAGCGTCGGGCCCTGTCGGGCCAGCATTCCATTCTCGAACGTCACTCGATTACGGCACCCACGGAGGGCCTATACACAGCCTGGTGGGAGGAGCTCCAGGATTTTGCGGATATGAACGGCTACACCTTGGACAGCGTGAAGAATGCCGACATTGCGCTGGTGGACTTCGCGGACTACTTGTTTCTCGAAGGGTTCGAGCGGCCCGACCTCATGAAGATGTACGCCGCGGCCGCCTGGTACCTGGCCGGCCTGTCGCCCATCGGGAAGTTGCGTTTCCCGCGGTTCTCCCGCGCAGCCCGGGGGCTAGGCCTGCTGGCGCCAGCGCAGACCGTGCCGCCAGTCCCCTTCGAGGTGGTGTGCTGGATCGCTTGGCGCATATACCACCGCCTCCAGGACTGGACCATCCCACTCTGCCTGCTGACCATGTTCGTCTGCTACTTCAGGCCCGTGGACGTCCACAGCTTGAGGGAGGAGGACCTGGTGCCGCCCGGAGGCTCGAGCAGCCACTGGGTGCTCAACGTGCACCCCGCGCGCCGCGGGGAGACGTCAAAGGTGGGGGTGTCCGACGAGGCGCTGCTCCTCGACTCTCCCTACCTCCCAGGACTGGGCCCAGCGCTGCATCGGCGACGTCGCGGCCAACGGCTGACAAAGTTGTTCGATGTCAGCGAGAGGGAGCTCAGCCTTCAGTGGGGCCGCTCGCAGGAGCAGCTCGGGCTGCTTCCATCCCAGCGGTATCGCCTGTACCAGATCCGTCACGCGGGGCCGTCCCACGACGTCCTCACGGGGGTCCGCACGCTCCTCGACGTCAAGCGCCGGGGGAGGTGGAGCTCGGACGCGACCGTCAAGCGGTGCGAGGCGGCGGGGGTGGTGCAGCAGGAGTGGGCCAAGCTGTCGACGGCACAACAGGCCGCCGCGACTCGCGCGGCAGAGTGGATCAGGTCTCAGGTGGGTATGTTCTCCGACCCCAGCCCGGGCGGGCGCGGCGTTGGAGGGCGCCGTGGTTCCTCCAGGAGCTGTACTGCGGCACGCACGGGATCCTCGACAGCGCGGGCCGCCAGGGCATCGGGGGCGTCGGCTGGGACACGGCCATCAGCTCAAAGGCCGACCTCTCGAGTGCGGCAGTCATCCAGAGCATCGCCCGCGACTTCAAAGCGGCCGAGAATCGTTTCGGGCTGAGCGGGGTGTTCGCAGTTCTCTGGGTTGGAATCGTTTGCTCAACTTGGACTCGCATTCGCGACCGCCCGCCTCTTCCCAGATTACGAGATGATGATGAGTACTTGTTGGGGTACCCACAGTATGAGCGTGATTGTGAAAAAGAGGCTGTCCAGTTGGGAAATCTCATGGTAGAGCTATTAGTGAAGCTACTTCGGGAACTTTTACCGAAGAGCGTCGTTGTGGTCATAGAGAACCCACTGACGTCCAGGCTTTGGCTTCATCCTGGACTACTTCAATTGAACGCTGATTTTTCTGATCACCAAGACGTGTTGCTAGATCAGTGCGCCTACGGCACTCCTTGGAAAAAAAAAGCCCACGAGGCTGCTGGTGTGGCACTGCCCGGCGATGAAGGCGCTGGGCAGGCGTTGTACAGGCACCAGAGGTGTTTGTGCCTTCGCACAGCAGCCTCATGCGACTCTGACCGGCAAGGTGCACGGAGTGTGGCGTACCAAGCAGACCCAGCAGTATCCACAACGTTTTTTGTGCAGCTTTCTCGCGACGCCTGGCTCAGCATCTCAGACACAGTCCGCCTTCTTTGTAGCCTTTTTTCCGTGCCCTGCCAGAACACTATATGATAGCGGATGCGGGAGACATTGATTATTGAATAATCTTGCTCTGCGCGCTGATTTGATTGTTGAAGTGCTGCCGGCATTGTTTCCGGCCAGCTGCGAGCCTCACCCAACCGACAGCTGCCAATAGACAATGTTTCTAACTTCTGGCGGAGACACGAAACAGGCATGATCAGCCAAGCGTGAATGCCTCCAGTCAGTACGCCGTTGTCGTTATTCCGTAGCCTTCGGCTTATGTTTTTCTTGGGCCCACCGTCCACCCCAACACCTCCTGGGAGACATCGATTATTGAATAATCTTGCTCTGCGCGCTGATTTGATTGTTGAAGTGCTGCCGGCATTGTTTTCGGCCAGCTGCGAGCCTCACCCAACCGACAGCTGCCAATAGACAGTGTTTCTAACTTCTGGCGGAGACACGAAACAGGCATGTATATATGTATGCATGCATTTACGTGTGTATGCATGTGTGTAAGTGTGTTCGTGTGTAAATGTGTATGTGAGTATGTATGCATGTATGCATGTCTGTATGTATGTTTGTATGTATATGTATATATGAATGCATGCATGCATGCATGTATGTGTGGATGTACACACGTTTGTATGTAAGCATGCATGCATGTACATATGCACGTCAGTATGGATGCATGTGTGTATGTGTAGGTATGTCTGATTGTATGTGTGTGCATGCATGTATGCATGTATGGATGTATGTATGCATGTATGTATGCTTGTGTGTATGCTTGTGTGTATGCTCGTATGTATGAATTTGTATATGTATGCGGACTGCGTGTGGATATAATGGCTGGAACCATGAAGTCTCCCAGGTGCCATTGCGCCCTCCTCTTCTCTCAACACGTCCCCGGCCCGCCCGCCTCCTCGGGCCATGATGATGCGCGAACCCCCTTCTTTCGTGATTTCCTCACGGATCCAGGCCTTCCCAAATGAGCTTGGAGCATATGGTGTCCGAGGATCGCGCCGCATCGCCGATGCATCGGTGACGCGGCTCGATGTGGAGCCCGTTTTTCTCCTCGTCGGCGCCGATGCATCGCGATGCGGGGCAGTCTTCCGATCCCATCTACTCGGAACCCATGTGGAATGCCCCTAATGAACCATGCAATGCCAACGGGGGGCACCACTACGGGAGTTGCCAGCTTCTCCTGCGCATCGAGTTTAGAGAATCAAGGGCCGAGAAGGCTGTGGACGATTTCGTCGTCTGTGGTGTGGGAGGTTCCAGGGTTTTTCGTTGTGGTTCTGATGGGTCGCCCTCTTCGGCGGGGAGGCGGCCCCTAGTGGTGCTACCCCTTGCTGTTGCACCGAGGGAGGAGACAAGGTCCTGAAGGAAGCGGGTCGTGGAGGTTTCTCGTTTTTTTCTGCCTCCTTGGCGCCCTCCCTGGACCCTGGGGTACTCAGGACGACTATCTGGTCCTGGGGGACGGCCCCGGGGTCCAGGACGCTTTTTTCCATCGAGATCCGCCCAGACTTTGGACGTCTTGACCTTTTCACTGTAAGAACCCCTTGGTTGCGGAGGGGGAAGACGGGCAGGAGGAGAAGGAGGAGGAGGGCAGGAGGAGGAGGAGGGCACGAAGAGGAGGATGAGGATGATGATGATGAGGTGGAGGATGAGGATGATGAGGATGAGGATGAGGATGAGGATGATGATGAGGAGGATGAGGATGATGATGATGAGGAGGAGGAGGAGGATGATGAGAATTCTGATGATGATAATGATGATGATGGTGGTGGTGGTGATGATGATGATGATGATGATGATGATGATGATGATGATGATGATGATGATGATGATTAAGACGACGAGGAGGAGGAGGAGAAGGAGGAGGAGGAGGAGGAGTGCAGAGGAGGAGGAGGGCCCGCCTGCTTCGCGAGTGGCCGTGGAGGCTGGCGCGCCTGCCGCGCGCCCCCGCCGGGCGGGCCTCTCGCGGGCCGCGACCGGAGCGGGCCGGAGCGCTTCCCCCCCTCCCCCCGGGGGGCCGATTGTCGTCCCAAGCCGATCGTTGGCGGTCCCCGGGGGCCAGGTGATCGGTATCGTTCGGGGTTCAAGAGTTGGTGGTCTCCAAACCAGGTGGTGAGACACCCGGTGGTGACCCCGATTCCCCAAAAAACAATTCTGGGTCACCACCAGGTTTGGGGACACGCGGTCGCCACGAGGTTTTGCGTTTCCTGGGCCAGCCAGCGCTCGAAAACCATTACCCAAATCGCCCAAAACTCACCACCGGGTGTTCTCACCACCACGTTTGGGGACCACCAAAAGAGTCGGGGGCGGAAAAGAGGGGGGTGATGACTAGGGGGGGGGGGGGATATCATGGCGGGGGCCATGATATTTCCCCAGATTTCATGGCGCC